CATAGTTTGATCACTGAGTAAATTTCCTACGACAAAACATGCATGTACAGCACAGCGTACAGTATGGAGTGCACGCAGCGTGGTTTAATAATTGAATATTCACCGTAAAAGAGCTCATAACTGGAAAATGCACACGGCACGATTAGCGCTTCATTATCGCTGCCACTCCTCCCGTAGATTTGCTCGCTAAATCTTTGATTCATGTGTGCGGTGAATCAAAGTGCGCTGTATTAGGAAGAAATTTCACATTTCCTGGTAGTCTCAACTCGAGCATCACCAGTAAAATAAATTTTAAATGACTGGAGGCACTCAGAGCTGCGAGATGAGCCGCACGTGTAGGAAAAACACAGATCGAGCTGGTTCCTGCGGATCAAGTGAAGTCACAGCTCAGGTGATTAAAGATGCAGCATTGTATGCCTTTCTTTCTTTTTTTTTTTTTTTTTCCTGGTCCTGTCTCATTCCTGCAGAGTGTGTGGAGTCTGGGCCTCATTCATGATTCAGAGCTCGGGGGTGGTGTGGGTGTGAGAGTGTGTGTGTGTGTGTGTGGGATGCTCATGGTTTTTAGTGTGAATTTTATCTTCATCTGGACGCTCGGACCAAAAGGAACCCGGAGTACCGGTCTATTAATACATTTTTTGAGCCCTGAAAAATTGATGGCAGCTGAAAGATTGAATGTAGCGGAGAGGGTCGAATCAGCTGCCATCCCTGTCAGCCTCTGTGGCTGACTGAACTACAATCCAGCTGGTGCTGTCAGAGAACAAGAGGGTGTCACTTTGACGACGCCGAGAATTTTTGGAGGAGTGCTTTGTCTTCGCAAATCTGAAGCTTCCCTGAAAGCCGCTGCGTTTCCTCAAAAGTCAAATAAAATGAAACGTTTTTACATCCGAGCTTACTGCAGTTCTAACGCAAGGATTCCCAGCGACGTCCGAGAAGATTAGAAGATTAATTGATCGGCGGGAAATGAATGAGCAACTGCTTTGAGTTTTTGCTGAAGGAATGAATTTTTTTTAACAAGCAAAGATGCCCAAAAGTTAATGGGTGTAGCTCCTCAAATGAGAGTTTTAGCTGCTTTTCACTGTCGTACATGCTTAAGTTGGTAATTTGAAGACACCCTCTGTTATAAAGAGCATTTCAACCTTAAAATTAACAGTCTCAGAAACACAGATTGAGATTTCTGGTGTTTCCTATCGAACAAAACTTAAGAAACCAGTCCTGTCAACTTGTGAGCCGAGGCTTTTAATATCTCTATTCTTCAGAATTATGTTTTTTTTGTTTGTTTTTTAGGGTTAGCCTTTTTTTAGCCTTTATTATAGTTGACAATAGAGACTGGAAATATGGGGAGAAGAACGGGGGAAGGACCTGCAGCAAATGGTCATGGGCCGGACCTGAACCCATGACCTCTGCGCCGGGAACCACAGCCCCTGTTCATGGGTCACCCGCCCAATCCATTGAGCTATCCAGGCGCCCGGAATCTTACTTGAATCACTCCAACATTTCAAGGACGGGTACTTGGAGAAAGTGGCGTGAATGTTGTAGATCTGCCCATTCCTGAAGGCAAACGTAAAAGTATGTTTTCTAAGCCAGTTTAAGTGAGGACAGGCTTATTTTCATGGCAAAGCACTTTGAAATATGTAACTATTGACACACAGAGATGAGTTTTTCAAGGTTTAAGCAATGACCAGAGAGGGATTTTATTATTTTTGCTGTTTTTGACTATCAAAACAAGACGTAGCATGAAATCAGCTTAACTTCTAGGAAAGTTTAATAAGCATTTCGCACAGTTTTGTGATGTTTTAATCGAGTCATTGAAAAATATAATCAACAACAATAGTTAGCTGCAGCCCTAGAATGACTTTCGGTGCAAGCTGCAAGGAATAAAAAGTAAAATGTCAGAAAGCGATGATGCATAAACTACTGTAACGTAGATAACACAAGGTGAAATCTTATTAGTATTTATCAGAATCAGAATGAGGATCAGCTTCACTGGCCCAGTATGTGTTCACATACGAGGAATCTGGCTCCAGTTCTTTCTTTACACTCAAAGTATTTTGATAAAAATCACACATTCAGTTAAACAAGGGCAGCAGGTTAAAGAAAGGACAGTGGGTGGGTGTTATTGCTTGTTTCATATGACTCAAATTAAACATCTAAAAATATTCATGTGAAGTAAACACGACAGAGAAAACTTTAATTTACTATAGAAGTGATGCTGATTAATCTTCACAGGAAACATGCAGTAGTATTATATTATATCTGAATATATTAATAACATCATATTTGGGCATTATACCCTTTTTTTCCCCTTTTGAACTGGTAATATTTGTTTTAAAATGTACTCACAGTGTGGGTAAAGTCAGAGACTTCCTCCTAATTAAAATGATTTGATCTACCAGCATCAATCACTGGTGGTCTGGTACACTTTCAATAAAATCATGTCAAAGTATTTGAATTTGGCAGATCCCATTTAAATTTCCTCTAGAAACTGACAAGTTCCTGTCAGACCTTGAGCTGAAATGTCAGTTTCATCCAAAGGAACGCGAGGCACTCAGCACCAATAATGGCATATGCATGTTGCCCATCACGGTGTCGGCGCTAAATACCTAAATATGTGTTATTTTATTCTCCAATTATGTCATCTGCATGTGTGTCAAATGAGAGGCTGAATAAACTGGGGTTGTGTTCCGTTTAGACGCAGCTGCCTCTGAGCAAATTGGGTCAGGAAATGTTTAGGCTGCCACTGTCACTCCGGCCTTGATCAGATTCAATTTTTTCAACCATTGGCTTTTTCCAGAGACATGAAAGAGGGTTGGGACTTGAAAGGAGAAGTTTGAAAGCCTTCCCTATCATTAACTTTCATCTCGTACAGCAAACAAATGAGAGAATCAATTTGTGATGAAACTAAGTCATTGGCCTTGTCGCTACCACTTAAGGTCGCGAGGGTAATTAATTTGCACTGAGGAGGAAGTTCAAATCTGCAGCGGACATTCTCCGGCTCCCTTCTCTGTTGTCTCAGCGCTGAGCTTCTTTGGATCAAAAGGCTTTCTTTAAACCCACCAGCCCTCCCTACTATCCCTGTTGTCTGATGTCTCGTCTCTCAGGGCCTCGCGGAGTAATAGAGATCAAGAGATTGCTGTTAGAGGCCAACAGATACCGGCTTTTATGAATGGGGATGTCTCGATAGTTCACACATTCTGGTGGTGTTCGCTTGTGTTGCTATCAAGGCGAGATAAATTAATTTTAGATGACCAGACTGTAAAACATTTACATGGCTGACAAAACAATTTGGGAGACGGGAGTTTGAAAACATGAAGCGTCTGTCACAAGTGTGAGCGTCAAATCGCAGTGACAGTTCAATCTGCAGCCTGAGGTGACGCATGTATATTTACTTTAGCAGTCAAAATAAAAAACGGGACAATTTACCTAAATTAGTCGATAGGAGTTAGACGTCAAAACGAACACGTGGAGTTGGAAAACAAAGTTTCGCTGAATTTCAAGGCTCTTGTTTTCGCTAATCAAGACATTGTTGTGTACTCATTTATTCACTGCATCGCTCACAATTATTCCCTCAAAGGAGGAGAGTTCCAAAAATATCCAGGAGCAACAAGGAGGGATTTGAAGTCTCTCTGTTTCATTATTAAAAGCCAACATTTACTCATGACATTTGCATCCTAATAACTGCGAGATAAGTTGGAACTAAGATGACACTCTAAATCCAATCTCCATAATGAGATTTATAGGGGAGAAGTGTTGCCTTTAATGGTTTGGTACACGCAGAAGGAAGAGCAGTTTAGGGAAACGTGTCAGGGACGCAGTTGATGTATTCGCATAAGCATCAGTATGCTCCGTCATGCCTTTCAGCGGCGCCAAGATAGGAGGCGTTCAGATAACTGAGAGAGAGTATGAAAGTGTAATCTCTCAGTTGTCTCTGTTTTGTTGGCACTTGCCTCTTGATAGACTATACTGTTCTTATTAATTTTTCCCCCTCATTTGTTTCAGCGTGCCGACGCCGCGCAGTCGGAGGAAGCCGCCGCCGCCATCGCTCAGTTAAATGTACCACGGAGACTCATTTTGAGCAAAGACAATGGCTAATTTCCTCCCTTCATCCTTTTCTCACTCCATAACCAGCCTCCATAACCAAACATTTATCTACCGCTTTATCAGAAAGGATCGCATCCACTAACATGTCGGGGGAGGCGTTGAGAGTGTTTAGACAAATAAATACGTCAGTGTTTATCAGGCGACGGGAGGGGTAGGTCCCGTCATCGTTTCACAACTTTTTTTCTTTTTTTGGGGCTTCATTTGAGTCGAAGCTGAGATAAATTACAGTTTAGTCCTTGAGAAAATCAATTGCGAGTCTCCCGGGGGACCGAAAATGGTTTTGCGCCGCGTACAGTCAGCTCTTTATGTCAGAAATACATAATCCCTCCAGCTCAGACGAATTCAAGGAGCCAGGACAGTGCTTTATTACATGCTAGGGATGTGTCTGACAACCAGCTTGCTTTTTTTTTGTTTTGTTTTGTCTCAGCAGGTTCGAGTACAAGCAAGCAATCCCTTTATGTTTCTCTCGCAGGCATGATCCCTATTATGCAATATTAAGCACACTTAAGCAAACTCTGCAGCAGCGGAAGTGCTTTTGTGCTCATAGGATCTGCACTACAGAACAGAGGCCCCATTAAATGTCACCTAAATCTGTTTAGAAAGATTAAATGCTAATAGCGAAGATATTTTAGCTTCTCGGGATCTTATTGAAGTTTCTTTTCGCGTCTTTTTTTTACTGTGTTTTATATGTCATTGCCTCACAAACATGAACAGTTATTGTCCTTGTGAAATCTGTCCAGTTGATGAGAGCGGTGACCGGCGTTTTCTGAATGCTTAATGGTTTCCTCCCTCCTTTTCTTTTTTTTATTTGACAGAACAATAAAAGTACTGGAAAGGACAAAGCCAGGATTCTACACACCTGTGATTGGATGTGAGCTCGTATTGACCCGAGACCATTAAAAATGGAGTTGCTATGGAAACTTATACTGCTGCTGTCATTGGTGGAGTGTCTGGCAGGTAAGTCTCCTAAATGTGCACTTTTTTATGTTGGTGTATGTGGCCTGTGAATTGTTATTTATGGATTTCTTTTTTTTTTTTTCGCGATCGCACCTCCATGTTCGGAACAGATGGTGCTTAAAAGCCAAATGGAAAAATACATATAAAAAAAAAAAAAGGTTTTATGGCAAAAGAGCACCTAAAGCTCTCCACCAATTTTACAAATGGTTCACGTTGTTGTCTTTTCATTGGCAGCTCAAGGCAGCAAATCAGCATTCCTTCAGTTGTGCATAGCAACTATCTCAGTTTTTTTTCTCAGGCAGTGAATGCTGTTGGAAAAAGAATAAGCCCAGGTTTCCATCTCTGAAAGACAGCTCCTATCTCGCAGCTGAATGTGCAGTCATTCATTCTAAAGAGCGCCTCAATTGTTACCCTAATTGAGATTGCGCTGGTAGTAGTACAGGAATCTTGTCATTGATCTTGCTTTTAATGAGAGATCTAATTTTCCTCCAAAATGTTCAGGGTCAAATGTTAGTTCTCTTCAGAATGTCAGAGTCTGAAACTGAGAACAAGATGAATAAGGGCTTTGTTGCTTGAGCGCAGTATCTTGAGGAATGAGTAATCTTTCATGTTGCCTCGCTCAAATCCAGCAGCCCCTCCTCACAGCTGGGACCTAAAATAATTAGTGTGCGTCGGTGTGTGCGCTTGTGACTGTAACTCTGTGTATTTATTTGTGGGCACGCGTCTTTTTTTTTTTTTTTTTTAAAGCACAACAGCATGTCGGAACCTAAATTTGCCTACATGGCAATTAGAATCACTTATCACTAAATCCAATACACATCAGTGGATGTCTAATGAGGCTTTCCTCAGGGAACTGTGGCTCACTCTGGGATTAAGATCTACGCTGCAATTCTGGATCACGTATTATGGCCTACTTAAACATTCTCTTAAACACAGGCGAGTGAACGCCTTCAACGCTGATGAAAATCCCGCCACGGACCTGACGGGGTTTTGATGTCAGACAAAAGCGCTTCGAGTAGACAATTCAAGCCTGCTGTGTGTGCGGCCACTAAAATTTACTCTTTACAATCACAAGCAGCAGAAACCACATTCAGAGTTATCTATTCAAAGCAATTTAGTACTTAACAATGGAGCAGAGGGCAAATCGTTTCTGAAAAGCATTGTGTTGCACAGCCCTTGCCTCACTCTTGAGACTCACAGTCGGTAACACAGAGTAACTGAGCATTAATATTCAGTGTGGGCCTACATTACATATGCTCTGCTTACAAGGCGAGTATGGCGCAATATAACTACAGACCTCTAAAGCCTCTGCGTTCTACGAAAGACTCGTTTTAGTATGCAGACCTGCCACGCCGGGTAGAGACAGCTCAGTGTGAGGAGTTGTTTCTTGGTAGGTTATTTATCCAGAAGTGTTGTTTTTTATAAAAAAAACAGTAGGCATCGGCTGTGTGGGAGAGCAGCGAGGCCAAGGGGATGTCATTCCCACTGTGAGTTCATCTGGAGTTAACCACCTCTCCTCCCCGTTCTTCTCTGAGGGTCTGCGCGGCCCGAGGCAGGGGCGTGGACTATATGTGTAAATGAGAGAAGTAAGAGAGAGAGCACAGAGGTCAGGCTGGATGTGGTTTTGCCCTCGCAGAAGAACCCAACATTCACACAGCGAGGCGCTTCCAGCACTGGATCAACAGTCTTCAACTGACAGAAGCGGGTTTCATCATAGAACTGGGTCGACGGGTCGCAAAGGTGTGCTGCCGAGAAAAGTAGAAGCAGCTCTCGAGAAAGTGAAGGCTGCAAAGAGAGGATTGAATTTCATTTTAATTAACACACTGCATTGTTGTAAAACATTCAAATAAATCAAAGCGGTAATATACAGCAATCTGGTCATTAGGAGAAACTAAAAAAAAAAAGCCTCGGGAAGGGAAATGAAGTTGTTGTTCATATTCCCTCTTATTACACAAACCACTTGCCAAAAAAACATTAATCGTTTGATGCAAAAAAAATATTGATTCTGAAACACTTTACCACAAGCTCAATGAATTTTGCAAGCAGTTGCCTAAAAAAACAAAAACTAATTGGCAGAGTGGAATCACAGAAACATCTGTAGTTGGCTTTGAAGGGCTACAATTTAGCCATGATGGAAGCAGAAATGTAAACACATTCAGTAAGACTGCTGTTAAGCCTCTAACCAGCAATCAAATGTTGTTTTTTTTTATTTGTTTGTTTCCCCACAGAATAAATAAGAATTAACTTTGGGGGAAGAAATCTTTTCCATGATTCCTTAAGTGGGTGTCTGCAGCCTCAGAGAAGTAATGCATTTTAGGCGCAAGGTCTTGATGTTTATTTTTGCCTGAAAAGTCGACGAAATTCTCAAGGATGTGTTGAAAGTGGAGTGATATGATTAGATGTTTGGTGCTCAGAAATCGTTTACCTCACACTGTTTATTACAGGCCAATCAGAAATAAGTGTTCAACAAAGCTGGAATGAGTTTTCATTGTGCGCAGCTAGAGTGGCTCCACACAGCCACCGTGGAAGAAAATCAAAGTAAGGCTCGTGTGACTGTAACCTGTCAGCCTGAAAGGTCGGATTCCCATTTTATATCCTAATACAGGTGCTTTTTGGTCACTTGTACCGATCCTCCTGTCCCTGTTGAAGACATCTGCGACAAATGCACAAGTTAAAATAGGACTCTTTTTTTTTTTTTGGTTAAATCGAGTAGGTATCTTCCAAACTTCTTTTTATGAACAAAAGTGTGGTTTCCTTGCTGAGCTGCAGGGGGATATAGTGCAAGAAAGAGCAAATTTCGTAATAAAAAGTCTACTTTGGAATACATTATTTGATCCGACTAATTTCAGCTGCTTAACTTTGCTAAAACTAAAGGTAATAAAAAGAAAAAAGTACTGCGCATTTCATCCCCCCTCTCTCTGACTTTGACATTTAGAGCGGATCTCTTCACAGCCAGAACGAACAAGAGAAACGATAACAGTGACAAAAAAAAAAGCTGTTTTAATCTATTCTGTAAGTACAGTTTTGGGACAGACTTTAAAAAAAAAAGTGAATCTACCCTTAATTACGACAGAGCCAGCAGCTTTCCCTAAATAAAGCAGAGAAGGCTTATGACTTTATCCGCACCTCTGTTCGCTTAAATCAGGCTCAGTGATGCTAAATGAAGGGGCTGCTTATGGCCGGCATCATAATCTCTAAGAACTACTTATACTTCACTCTGCATCCACGTTTATGCATCGCAGAGATGAGCGGAGTTTCAAATATTGACTTATCTCATTGATTCATCTGAACATGGCAAAGCCTTTTAGGAATACTTAAGCAAGGATTTTACTGCAGCTTTGAAGTTTTGTATATGTGAAGACTGGGGGGGACTATTCCTCTGTGAATCTCCCTCCCATAGACGGACGTATTTATTTATTTATTTGCTGCATGCAGGGATGAAAAATCATCCAATTTAATCGTCTGTGCGTTCAGTGTAGCTGTAGCTATTTATCTGCAGTAGCTCATCTGAACTGTGCATCATTTCTTGTAAATACATCGGCATCAATGAAACAGCAATGTACATTTGTGACAGGAAGCTTGCAATAGCCTGGAGCGCTGCTCAGAGCTTCCAATACTGCCTCATTTCATTGTCTTTGTCTGTTTATGCTGAAATTACCCATCTGTCAACTTTACTGTTCACTATTGTGAATATTTAGCTTCTATTGTCTTACAGAGAAGCCGAGGCTTAACAGTTAACACGGCGATAATCATCAGAAACTATCAAACACTCTTTTCATCATTAATTTCCAGTCACACATACAGTAGGTTCATTAGCAAGTCCCGGTGAACGAGAAAACTATGATATTTTGGATTTGTTTCGCAAATTGTTAACGCTGTTTATGAGATTTATGTTACAGCCGTTTTTAAACAGAAAAAAAAAAAAGGAATCCACTTTCCATTTGTGGAAACTATCAAATCGCCCGTCACAAAAGGACGACAGCATGAATGATGTTGTCTGATGTGTATCATGCATATCCTGAATTGCAGCCGACTGCGTTATTTAAAATGCCGTTTTTTTGATTTCATTGTTCAGCCATCATCCATATTGTCAGAAATGAAAACCAGTCATTTTCAGATCAGGCCTTCTTTAAGTACCTATGATTAGAAACCTAATGGTCAAGTTTTAAACCATGATAAATGTTTCCATTAGTTCACATCATGGCATCTGGTGAGTGACAAATAGCCTTCTAACCAATGCTGAGGAGGAAAAGGTGCGGATATTAATACAATTACATGATAAATGGCATTCTCAGAACCAATATGTTCCTGGCTTTATGTAGACATTCAATACAGAGTGCAACAACAACAACAACAACAACAAAAAAACGGCTTTAATTTGCCGTTCTCTGACATATGGACCTAATCAATTCTGTGTTTCCCCCAGTGAACATGGCATTGGATACCCCTGATACATGGGGCTGTTATTGCATTTCAGATGCACTACCTGTGATTAGCTGGAGAACGGTGTAAAGCGGTTGGGTATTGGTTGGGAATGTGACACATTCGTCTCCTCTCAGACTGTGTCGCTGAAAATGTAATTAACTTAATTAGCGAGTCTGTATTACAGTACAGTACACGCGAGCTGATAGTCGCGGCAGTGAAGTATGGCGTGGTGCATTTTTTTATTCGTTCATGGCTTCTTTCTCCATTTTTAGCATTGGGAATGTTGCAGTCTCTTTTCACAATTTTTTCCAGAGAACATTTGAATTATTAAGCGTTTTATTATTTACAATCATTTCTGTTTTTAAAAGACTCTAAAAGTCAAATCCCACGTATTTCTCAAGCTTGTAGACGAGATGATGGCGATCACACCTCTACTTTGCCCTGAGACATCCCAAATCTTCCATCTGCTCTGGAGTAACATTTGCTGCCCCCTGAATGAGAGACCTTAAAGGTGCACCTTATCGGCCTGGACAGAGGGGGAAGATGCTTTAAAAAGCAAGATTGGCTTTTTTTATTTGATGCATAAAACCCTGAGCTGAAACGAATGGATTTGGGGCCTCACAAACGACCGATACCTCCCCCACAGCCGACTCCCCATGTGCCTGTTTATTCATGCTGAGGTAAGCTGGAGGAATTCATTTGCTGTCAGCTAGTATTGAATTTGAGATTAGTTTTTATTTCAGCCTCTAAAACAGCTCCCTCTGCCTTCCACTTGTGCCGCGATGCTGAGTATTGTGTTGTCGGAGGGGGCCTTAGAAAACATGCGCATATCACCATCTGGCAGCAGGTGACAGATATGAGTAGAGGCGGCCTGTTTTTTTTTTTTAAACACCCTTTCATAATGACCTCCATCTCTGCCCGCGGCATTGTGCAGTCAGCTTCCTGTTAGGCTTCTGGATCAGTGCACTTCTCTGATAGGGAGCGTTCATCATTTTACTTTCTGTATTCTGGGGGCACTGGACCCGCCGCCGTCAGATGACACTCTGGTCTCAACATGAATTCTTGATTCCTCTTCATATCCTAAAAGCGGTAACAATTCATGAACCAGAGTGCCAGAGTTAAATTTTAAACTTCCGCTATCGACCAGATGTCTCTCCAGTCTCCTGTCTTTTTTTTTTTTTTTTTTTGAGGCCGCAAATGTGCCGCCAAAATTTCCTGGGAAAGAGAAATTTCTCCGTTTCTTGGGCTCGTGGATTTCAGACTGCTGTATCGGGTGTAGCATCTCAATGTTTGATTACCAGAAAGCAAACCAAAAATTATTCTACATCCCCTACTGCATCTTACTTTCATTCCCGTTAGGGCGACGTAAGAGTTTCAGAGAGTTTGCATCAGTTTGAACTGAGCCTCCAGGCACAGCCCCCGGAGCTCAATCCCTTCTCATTATTCAGACTCTTCTTTTTTTTTTCCCTTATAATAACAGTTGCCATGGTACTGGCAAAGATCAGGTCAGTTTAGCACCACTGCACCTGCACGCTGCAACCAAATATCTGTCAATTAATTTACCATTACGTAAATATTAAGTCAGATTTATGCACTGTTGTCCACTTAGTAAATAAAAGGTGTAATGCACTCATACAACATCCCCTACCCTTTACCCTCGCTGCAGTAAGTTCTTCTGTTGAGCGGTTGTTTGTGATTTAAGTGATAAGCGAGTGGTCCGACACATTAAAAAGCACCGCGAATCGCTCACCGCGCTCACATTTGTCCACATTCTTAATCAGGAGGTCATGAAAATAAGATGAGCAGAAGCCAGAGGAGATTTTATTTTTTTCCTCCACACTTATTATGAGTATTTAGTATAAAAAAAAAAAAAACCTGCTGCATTTAACAACCTTAAATAACAAAGCAGTTAATTGTTAGAATAGCAATAAAAATTATATTAACCAATACTTATTGCTATGTAATAACCTTTATTGCAGCGATTGCCTCACTCACAGGGTGCATTAACGTTTCCATATACACAGTGTAACTACAAATATCTGAATGAATGTTTGAGCCTTAGCTGTTTTATCGTAAGTGTTTTTTTTTTAGCATCATCAGGTTTTTCTTCATTATTCTCTGTGGTAATCTACAACATACATACTGAATAAATCTCTTACTATTTAACAGTACATTGCAGTGCATGCAGGATTACTAATATTGTAGGAAAAAAATGGAGTATACAAGAAGCAAAGAACTTTAAGTATGTATTAATGTATACAATTCTATATGTATAAGTATGTAATATATGTATGTAATGTATGCTGCAAGGCCCAATAATTACTTTCATGTTTGCTACAGGCCTTATCCTCCTTCCAGGTTTGTGTACAACAAGTGTAAAGATTTATTTTAATATGGACTGTAATGGAAGAGTCTTCTGGTAATCAATCATCTCTCATTGCTGCTTCAAGGGACACGCTTCATGTAACCGAGATTATAATTAGTCGGCCTTTTATTCTGTGTAACTTTCGGAGAGGTTTATCCTTGTGGAGAGGAACAATCAGCGTACAAGGTCCCTTGTCAAACATCTCCACCCTCTCGGAGAGTTATTTTGAGTCTTGAGGATAAATCTGTGCTCCCTGGACTCCAGAGAACCTGAAAATGATACCTGCCTCCCATACAGAGTAGTTACCCTACCTGCAGAATATTCCTGCTTGTGTGGTGTTACAGAAATGCAAATGCATTCTGACAAATCCAAATGAATTCCTCTTCCATCCCAGAAAGACATGTTTATTGTAATGAAGTGTTGACTACCCCTTGGGTCTTCCTCCTCGGTCGTGCCTTCGCAACATGCATTCGGTGTTGTACCTTTGTAATTAACCAGGAAGTGAATGTCACATTAGACATTCTGCTCGGTTGTTCGTGTTTTCACATTTCTTGTTATTTTTCTGTTGTTGTTCAAAGACAATGAATCAACAATATTGCTCAAGGAATATAGAAATATGTGAGATGCTTTATATATTTCTTCAATGCAAAACAACACTTGATGAATAATTATGGTAATAGTCAGTATACATACAGTGCCTGTATGGAACAATACTGTAAAAGTGTAATTCATAGGTTTTTGCAAGCAGTGCTTGTGATTTATTCTGCAAGCAACAGATTGTAGTTGGATGAAATCTGAAATAAAAGCAGAAAGAAAAAACTAAACCAAAAGGCACAAAACAGTCCCTCTGAGGTGATTCCTGTCTCCCAACTTTGGGTTCTGGGCAACAGTTTGATGGGTCAAATTAGAAGGACAGGTTTCAAATGAGGCCTCTCAGTGTTTGTGATGCCGTTTTTATTTCTCATTTTTTATTGGTTGACATCCCCTGGGAAGGTGGTGATAAGTTTGAAGGGTTTAGATTAAATTTTGCTGAAGTGTGGTGGCAACACGGTGTGTCATTGACAGGTCTGTACATTCAGATGTTTGCATTAAAGTTTTATGAAGGTTACCAGCTGATTATGCAGTACCTCTGGGATCTAGTGAGTTTTTTATGACTAATATGAAAAATGCTCATGGGCTGTGCTCACATGGCACACTGATCCATGCTAAACAGAGATATATCGTGATTCACCCTTCTGCTCTGTTGCTTCTTTTCTCTGTAAACCTCCAATATCTGCTTGCCAACAAAGAAAAAAAAGAAATGTTAAAAGTGGGTTTCAGGCTCACCAGGACATCAAAGCTGATGCAGTTTTGTTGGTTCTCCACCCAGGAAGCGGAGTCCTGCTGAGGCCCGTGTTCACCAAACAGCCAGGCAGTGTGGTGTTTCCCATTCAGCCCGGCGAGAACCGCAGAGAGGTGGTGTTTAGCTGCGAGGCCCAGGGACACCCACTACCCTCCTACAGGTAACGCCTGCGGACATGCTTTATGCACACTTTGCACTGTTTTGTTACACTGAACCTTCAGGTAATACCCCAGAGCTTTCCAGTTCAACATTAGTGTTAAAAAAAACAACAAGTGAGACTGGATTTATCGCCCAGGGAAAACTGGGGATTTGCAGACCTTTACGGCTTGCTGCTGCTTACTGCCTGCAATGCTTAGATTCGCTGTCAGTCATGGTTAATTTGAGAATGATTAATTAATTGGCCTCAGTTGTCTGCGGATTGTATATTTTCCACTGGTGGCCGGACATTGATCTGCAGAATTCACTTCGAGAGCTTCCTGTCATCGGTATCAGCGACCAGCGAAAAGATCAAATGACCCCAGAGAATCATGCACCGAAAACAATCTGTTTTCATGACAGACATTGAGCGATGAAGGAAAAACACCAGTGGAGTGTATTTCAAACACCAGAAGTGATGTGGAAGAAGTTTTACTTGGGGCTTTTTTGCTGTTAAAGGCTGCACCAGCATTGCCACGGGGCGTCTGATTTGGAGGTTATCGCTACGTGATAAACACGATACAAATCAGATGATGGACTGAGGAGCAGAGAAACAGTTGCTGCCGGTCGTCCTCGTTCACCAGACCAGTCCTGTGCGGGTTAAACAGTCCCACGGCGACTGCACTAGAAACAGATTGACGCCCATTCCCTTTGCCGCGAAAATGATGACAAATTAAAACAAATGACAAACAATGATTTGCTTTAAAGTGCACCAAGCACATAAGCTATTAATTTATAATCTATCAAATGGGGCTGCGTAGCTGTTGTACTCCCGTCAGCGTAATTAAATGCAAATCGCAAAACCGAGCATTTAATGTGTAATAGGTTGAAACGATCCCTCATAACATCAGCATATGCGGCCGTTAATGTAGCTTGAAGATCCTTGGTGTTATGGCTAATGGACACAAATTGAAATGAATGTACAAGATCTTATCAGTCGGATCGGCTGGAATACTTAATGAGCAATTGGTCACTTTTTCACTGTCTGGATAGTCGGACTTTTTAAATGAAAAGCAGTTTATGGGTTCAGATGTGCAAATTGTTCTGCCCTTCCGAGTTCAAGCTCCGAGAGCAATGCCCGGCTCCGTATGAAATCAAATTTTGTTTTAATTAGCTCTTTAATTACAGCAAGTGCCACCAACTGTGGTCCTTGATATACCACATTAAGAAGTGATTTGCAGATTGATGACAAGCGGTTATGATGTCATACTTTTTATCTCTTTTCATAACAGGGAGGATAGTTAGATAGACATATGAGGTGTGTCAGAAAAGTTCCAGGACTGGTGTCACAAAAGATAGA